TTTTTACGTGAATATTTGAATCAACCCCAATATTGGGCCCAACAATATCCTGATTGGTTATTTAAATTTTATCATTTTATTTTGTATTCGAAAATTGATAAATTTAAATTTAAATTTTATCACTTTTAATCTTGTTATTTTTGTGTTATGTCCCTTCTAGTATATATTTCTGTGTACAAGATTTTAATGGAGGGGATAATTCAAGTGTATTTAAAAAAAAACGAAATAACCTAACCTTTTAGAACAAATTGGAAAATACTAATCACGTGGACAAATAGTGTTATGAATAAGTCTTATGACCGAAATAAAAATAAAATAAAATAAAATTGTTTGCAAAATTGAATTACATGACTTTTATATTATAAAAAAATACACGAGTCGTAATTAATTTATATGAATCATGTGGAACTAATATTAACGGTGGTAACCCTATTGGACCACAATATTTTTGTAAATTAATTTTTAAGATGGTAAGAATTCAACTCATTTTGAATTTTAAAATTTAACCTAATTTTTATGATGGAAATTAAAAAACAATTTTTTGATTTTATGAGTCAAACTAATTATTACAACAATATCCAAAAAACTGATTTTGATAGGGTCTGTACAACTAAGAATTTGAAATTAGTGATACCATGCACTAGAATGCACCTATTCGGTATCAAGAAAGTGTTTTTGCGCCATTGTAAGGAATCATTACTCAAATTTAGAAGCCAAAAAAGGATGAATTCGCAATCACAAGTGAGGTACTTGGAGACATCTCTTTCCAGAATTGAATAAAAATTCTGAATACAACACTATTTATGTTTGGCTCGCCCTCATAATAAATTCTAATTTGGTCCCTTCTCAAATTTTGTAATAACAAGAATTTCGTAATTACTCATCTCAGATATTTTTAACATTAATTTCACCTACATAAAGTTGCATGAAAGATTCGAGGCTTTCAAGATTAATGTTGCTGCAATAATTTCGTGGAAGTTGCATCATTTTCCTTCAAAATCTAAAGGATGAACAAAATTAAAAAAAAAATAAAAAATTAGGACATATTTCAAAGAGTGTTTAAAAATAGTATCCGGTCGTTGAGATAAATTTTTTGATAAGACTTGGATGATACTAAAAAGTAGTTCAATTCTCTTGGTGCAGACATTAAAACTTCATTTTGAATGGAGGTACAAAGTTTGACCGGTCCAAATTTATGGCATTAGTTAGATTTTTATACTAAAAAATAGTTATTTGCGCACCAATACTTCTATTTCATCTCACATAACATGTGACAAATTATCTTATAATATTGTCTTACTTTATTGTTTTCTCGATCCATTGTTATAAATAATACACATATACTGCGATGAAATGCTACTGTTTATCTATTTTGATTTATTATGATGATAATATTATGAAATATTAATTTGACCGAATCTAACAAACTGGTTGCATGGTATTAATGTTGAAAAAATCAGTGAGTGATATCAAAGGATAATGATTGTCTGTATAACACTGTGGATGCCTGATATTCATTCAGATCAAAATCTATCTACTTCAAAACCACCTTCCAGGTATTGTAGTTCTGTCATATACACTTAAAATCAAAATCAAACTTGACATAACATTCATATTTAGCAAGAAACATACACAAGGATCAAACCCCTTTATTTATTTCCAAACATTACAGTCTCCATAGCTAAAAGCAACACACATCAAACCCAACTCACCATACTCCCAACTTAACTCACAGGACAGGTAAACAGAACAGGAAACCAAACAACAAACGCGAAAAGACACGCACACACACACTGGTAAAAGAAAACACACTACTTATAGCCTACTTAACAGTGGCTATACCATGCCTCTAATTCTACATGGCATCAAGAACCATGTGAACAGGCAGTACTTGGACATGAAACCCTGTTGGATTCATGCTCAAAGTGTACACATGAAACCCAAATTAGATTCACGCACAAACTCCTTCACTAGTGCTTAGAAAAGGAGATTGAGTAGCGTTTGGGCAAATCCAGCAGTTAACCATATCTCCTCCACTACTGAGAATAGGGAAGGAGATTTAGATGGCCATGTTTGGCCGCTCAAATGAAAAACATATCATTCTCAATGTCTGGGTGCAGTTTGTAGAACCTCTCATCAAGTGAAGCAACAGAAACCGAAGATGATGATGAAGCACGAGACTGTATCTCCATCACTACCTCTTGATATTCGCGTCCCCTGAACGCGACAAGATCAGCGTAGTAAACTGGAGGCACAATTGAGACAGGCTTGGTGCATCTTGCAAAGGTGAAGCACAAGTGATATATCAGCTTCTGTAACTCATCAGACGTAAAAGTATTCTCATCCCACAGGACACGGTAGTGCGTTGTCTTGCTTGTCCCAATGATTCCATAGTGGCTGCACAGATAAAAATCAAATTCAAAAGGATGAACGATTGTTGTATCCACAACTGTTCCAGGAGGCACATTGTGGGATGCCCCCCCGCCATTATCAAGAAACAGGCGGGTCGGGTGTCTCTTCTGGGCAATAACAAGAGTCATTGTTGGGTGGTAATCTTCAGTACATATGGCCCTCTTTATATCAAGTAACTCTTCATTGAGAACCATGTCGAATTGGCCTTCACTTACCCCATCCCGAAATATCACAATTTTCTTTGGCCTGGTTTTGTTAAGTCGAGCATAAGTATTGACTAGATCCAAACACATGTTCCCAAAATTCAGAATCTTCTCCTTGCGGTGATCCTGGGGACAAATCCTTGCAGCATAGCGATTGGCAGCAGGCCAGTTCATTGTTGCAACAACCGCTGCTATTGATGGACATGTCACATTTCGTGCAGCTGGATGATTGACATCAGCCCCGATAAACATAACATGTTCCTCACCTTCAGTACCGGGGAGCCGTTCAATTAGCTCTACATTGCTACCACCAAGCTTGGCATTAATCTTAAGAGCAAGGTTTGCAAGATACTGGTCAGTACAGAAACATTGAGTCAGTACCCCAATCTGAGTCTCAGAGACCCATTTAAGATATTTTCTGACAGGATTGTTTTTGGGTATCACACAAACAATAAGTTGCAACCGGCCCTTACACTTCCCCTTAGCCTCACTAACCACGCTTTCAAGAAGTTTCTGAATTTCAGTGACACTACAGAAATCAAGCCTGCCAGTAAAATGGCACACAACAGGCTCCTCCACACGGATGCCCAGATTTTTGCATCTATTTCTCAGATTCCCAATGAAAGTACAAGCATTCATTTTAGAAAATGAAATGAAATCGATCAAGGCCCATCGCTCGAGTGACTTGCCTTCCACCACAGATTTACCAGAGAGGTTCCACTGACATTTCTCCCTGTCAACTGTCACACTTTGACCATTGCCAACCTTCAAGTTAGGTGGCTTAATGACACGACCGGATACTTTTGTCATGGTCTTCTCAACTTCAATTCCAAAATTTTCAGCGACCTCTCTGCAAGAGGGGAAAAAAATGGATTGGCATCACTATGTCATTAAAAGGAAAATGAGTAACCCAAAGAAAGACAGTAAATCAAGAGACTAAAATTATGAAAACCATGAGACAACCCCACCATTCACACAAAAATAAGCAACTTCCATCAAATTAAAAACAAAATGCCAAGTAATTCCCAATTAATAGAGGTGATGCATACTAAACTTAGGTTCCTAAATGGTTGTGATAAACCTCCAGTAAGATTGCGAACTAGTCTGTCAATTAACTTACCAACAGCATATCATCTCCATCCATCCAGGTCCTAATTAATGATATTCCAGTGAAGAGTTCTAAAAACAAAATGAATATCCTCTCACCTCCTAAAATTTGGGGATTTCATTAGATAAATAATCAAGATTCAAAACTACAACAGTTTCTCCAAAGTTTTCTTGATGATATGCCATCAAATACTNCATAGGTGTTGATTAGATCCAAACACATGGACCCAAAATTCAGAATCTTCTCCTTTCGGTGCTCCTGGGGACAAATCCTTGCGGCATAACGATTGGCAGCTGGATTCATTGTCGCAACAACCGCGGCGATTGATGGACATGTTGCATTCCACGCACCAGGGTGATTGACATCAGCCCCCACAAGCATAACATGTTCTTCACTCTCAAAACAGGGGAGTCGTTCAATTAGTTCAACATTACTACCCCCAACTTTGGCATTAATCTTGAGAGCAACGTTAGCATAATACTGATCATCCCCTTTGTTGTTGGCAGTACTGGACAAGCAACATTGAGTCAATACCCCAATCTGAATCTCAGAGACCCATTTAAGATCCTTTTTTCCAGGATGCTTCACGGTCATCACACAAACAATAATTTGTAACGGACCCTTACATTTCCCATTAGCCTCCTTAACCACACTTGCAAGAAGTTCTTGAATTGCATTGACACCAGAGAATTCATGCATGTCTGTGGAACGGTGCACAACAGGTTCCTCCATGCGGATGCCTAGACTTCTGCATCTATTTCTCAGATTCTGAATGAAAACACCAGAATTCAGCTTATTATAACGATCAAACGAACTGAAATCTATCAAGGCCCATCGCTCGACTGGCTTGCCTTCCACCACAGATTTACCAACGAGGTTATATTGACATTTCTCCCTGTCAACTCTTATCATATTCCCATTGCCAACTTTTAAAGTAGGTGGTTCAATAACACGACCAAGTCCTCTTGTCATGGCAGTGTCAACTACAATTCCAAAATTTTGAGCTACATCTCTGAAAGACCACAAAAAGGGATTGACATTTGCATTATCGACAAAATGAAAATCAACACAATATTTTACTACATAAGCGTGGAGGATTAAGTAAAATTGTGCTAAAAAATGAAGAGGCTTAATATAAAACTACCACTACCACACAATATTCTACGCCAAAAATATCTTGTTAAAAAACAATTTAGAGCAGCAACCAAACTACTGTGCAACAAATTATGCTGAAATGTAGAGGTTTAAGTGCAAATACATACCCACAAGGTCCATCTTCAGCCTGCACCATCTCACAGATAATGTTTTTCCTTTCCTTCGGTCGAGGCATTGATTTTTTCTTCAATAACCAGTCTGTGTCTCTATCCAAGTCTTCCTTCGGATACCTTTGCCCCTCCACCAAAGTACAAAATTCCATAGGCACATAATTTTTTCGATCACCTCTCCCCAAGTCTAGACAGGGAACATCCTTGTACATAATTTCTGTCCTATATTTCTCCCTGAAATATTCGATAAGGCTAATTTCCCTTGGTGGATGCTTCCCCTCTGGATCTTCAAGAGGGAATTTAAGATCTCCTGTATTTTGACTGCTTAACCCTGCTATAATAAACTTCTGTGTGGTGTTGCGGTGAGTTACATTAACTTTCAATCCTTTTAATGCACTTGTCATCATTCCTCTTTTCAACTTTCTGACATCACTTACATCAAAATGCTCCATAAGGAATTCTATGACCGGCAATCGTTTACGCAATGCCATAACTGAAGAGTCCAAACATAAGACTGTACCCTGGGAGGTGAGCTTTAGGCTATGTTGAAAGCCTCTAAACGCTGCAACGCCCCACCAGAGGTCATCTTGCTCCCTGAACTCTTTGGAATAAAAGCTTCGCCCAACAGAGATCCTATGCCTACACGGATTCTCCTTCATTACCAAATCCATCCCCTGTAGTATATCACGAGGGATACACAAAAGGTTTCCACTCAAGTAATCCTCTAGCTTGGAAAACTTCAGCTCGTTTACTAACTTAACTGTCAATATATAGGAGCGGCTCTTCATCTCTTCCCCACGAGACAATTCCACCTTGAAATTCCCCGTGGGCAATGGCACTGCACTGAAAATGTTCTTCTCGCCATCATAAGTAGTCATGTTCAGAGGAAATCGCGTTGGATCATCAGAGAATAGTTTGTCCTTGATCAAACGCAGAACAGATTTTGACATTGATTTCTTTGCAGAACAATTGTGTGGAGACATATCTGGTTTAATATCCACGTCATAGTGGAATACCATCCTCTTTGGATCGAAACTGACAGGAAAATGGTTGACGAGAAGCCTTACCTCCCTGATTGCAAGCTTGCCCCCGTTGTCAGGCCGTTTTATGGGAAGTTTTTTCTCCCTACCATCCAGAAGAGTTGATGGTGGCTTCTGCTCTGAAATTTCCAATGATTGGATATTTGGAATAACAGGAGCTGTGCAGAAAAATAAAACAACCACTGAACTTTATAAACCCCCAATCAAGCCTATGGCCATACATACACATTATATCCAAGGCAGAAAAACATATACTTGCACTTTCATGTCAGCACAAAAGCTTCAAGCCAATCAAAATACGAAAAGATCAATAACCCTCTGATTATGTTATAATCAAAGATCAAAATTTTGTTCCAATGCATTGTTCTTTTTAATTTCATAATCTATGTCTATCACCATCATTTCCATTACCAGTTGTGAACAAAAATTCTTGAACTATCAATAACAGTTGACACTAAATGCTTTTCTTTTTAATTTCGTAACAAAGTAATGATTTTCATTTTAAACAAAACAAGTACCTCCTCAATCTTGCAAACTAGTAATAGACCTAAACCAATAAATCATGATCAATTTGTTGGACTAACGCAGAAAATCTGATTTTTGGCCTACTTTGAGCATAAATTAAAATGAGACCCACTAATCGGTTCGAGAAAACTTTCGTGGATTTGTGTAATGTTCAATTCATTTATTTATTGCAGTGTTACATGTTAGTATGTTACTATTTTTCCTTGCATGTTCCTGTTTTGCTAATAATTACATTAAGCATATTTACGTGTTTCTGTTTAGCTTATTTCTAAATTTAATATCATTCCATAAATCTTAATAAGCAATTTTTCCATATTGAAGAATATACACCAACACAATTTACTTGAAAAACAATGAAACCAACATCATAGAATGGATAAATAAATTTCTGAATCTGAAAGTCTTTGTTTCTTATCAAAAAATTCATGTTATGCAAACCTTCTACATTCAATCAAAAAATAAGCATAACTAACCCCCCCACCCCCCAAACAAAAAAAATTAAATTAAATAAATAAAGCAATGCTATGCTGCATAAATATTTATCTAAATTTTGTATCTCAAATCAATGTAGGTGGTTGAATTAGTGGGGTCCACTAACTCTATCAAATATTCAATGCATGAGATTTTGACAAATCTTTTGAATACAAGATTTGTCCAACATAACTTTATCCAAATAAATAAATAATAAAAAACTCTTTAAAAAAAACGACAATAAGCATGTCTACTTTATAGTGATCTTACACACTAAACAAACCACAAAAACACGATAACCAACATTTATACATCGCCCTAGTTGCGCTAAAACTCTTTAAGAATAAACATATAGCCTATCCATGTTCCACACACACGTGATTATCAATGGGTTGTGTGCCGTCTCGATTATTATCTTGCCGTATCAAAATTTACCCACACTCATACCCAATTTAGTTATAATCATTTCTAGTTGGTTTCGTGTCAAATTCATGCCTGGTAGAAAAATAACAAAACATGGGATAAATTGAAATTAGTTGAGTAAACTCAGATTGGACTGCTGCCCAGATTCAAACTAGACTTGAGGCCAAATCATGGATTGAGCTCAAACCATCAAAAAACAAATCAGGCTTAACTCAAGATTACAGTGTAGTCTAAACCTCGAGAGTTTAGGAAGAGTCAACGTACATGAAAGAACAATTATCTAATAATCATTATTCTGTTAACATAGTGCCTTAATAGCTTGACGTTACGTCACCACAGCTAGAACCCTGTGCTTATAAATTATAAATCCCTTAGTGGAGATAACACAACTGACCTTAAGCGTACCATTACGCTCTCTCTCCCCTACTAACACATACATGTTCAAAGTAAAATGTAAAATAAAAAAGTTAAGAGGCATACCAGGCAAGGACTGAGGTTGGGATTGACCAGGCACAAAAGTGGGTCCCGAAGGCCTCGCAGTCCACACTCCTCTTCCACCACCCGCTCCTCCTCGTCCACCAACCACACACCCTTCACTTGATTCCACCCTTGCAGGCCCCACACCCTGACCACTCTGTTGGTGTGGCCTGTAATTGCCACCACCTTGACCTCCTTGACCCGGCCTATTACCCCGTTGCTGATCACCGGTCTGGGTGGGAACCCGACCCCTACCCACTCCTCTTCCACCACCACCACTTTGATACTGACCCTGCTGATGGTGCTGGTTACGTGGGTAATTCCCACCTCTGCCGCCACCGCCACCACGATTACTTCTGGTGCCGCAATGACCACGGCCAGAGCCGCCACTTCCTCGATTGTCGCTACTCTGCTCCATTCAGTTCTCACTACTCAATCAAACTAGATGGTCGAGGCAGTCTGTTGTGTTTGGCTTTAAATAGATCAAGGTGTGTGTGAAATAACACAAATAACATTTCGTGGTGACCAAGTATGGAGCAGTACTCGTAATTTAGGAGGAAATAAAGTCCTAACCAATAAGTAACTACACGACATGTGGTTAGGAAACTTTGGGTGAAGTTAGTTATGTACGGAAAGCCTTGCGTTTTGGCCAGGTTCTGACTTAAGGAGGACCTTATTTGTTACTTTTTGTGCAAGTAACATTTGTGGGTATACTACTTTGCTGGCATAGATTTTTTTCGTATGTTAGATTAGATGACAGAGATTATGAGGTAGCTTGTTCTCCACGGTTTGTCCAAGAATTATTATAGTTTATAACTTTTTGTAGATATTGTTCGTGTCTGAAAACAAAGTGTAATAAAAAAAATTATCAATTATAAATATATTTGTATTCGTATTCAAAATTAAATTATAAACATAAAAGAAAAATAAAAAAATTTAAACACTAATTATAGTGTACACTGTTTTATATTATAGAATTAACAAGTATTAACCGTAGGGGTTGGTTTAACAATAGCTCAACCACACGAGTTTGAATATCCCATGGAGTGTATCCTAAGGGCTATCGTCTATAGATTTATCCTCTTGTGTGAAGAGACGATTTTACCCGAGATCCAGTATTAATTTGGTACATAAGTAAAAAAAATACTGTAGTAATACACTAGGACAACTGGAATATAAAAAAAAATTAAAAAATCAAGTATTAATTTATTTATTGGGAGAATCTGGGGAATTCCAGAATGTTCAATGATTTTGGGTCAACAGTGTGAATGGGGAAAAAGGGAGCATCGTGGTGGGGGACATTGCGTCAAGTTAGTTATGTACAGAAGCATTGCGTATTGGCTGGTTATGACTGAATGAGGACCTTATTGGATACTTATTTTGCTTGTGGGAATACTTTTGCTGGGTGGGGCCTAGACTTTTTTGGGTATGTTAGATGAGATAGATTATGAGCTAACTTGCTCTCCACGATTCGTAAGATTTATATTCTCATTCTCATTCAAATCATTGTTGTAATAATTTCGTTGAAGTTACATCTTCCTACAAAACTTAGTGTTGCTGCATCAACGTCATCTACCATAAATGATGAAAAAGATTGGGTCATATAGATTATAAACGTACGGTTAATCTTCTTCTTTGGTAAATATAAGATTTCTTTCGCAAGGATAGTTCAATCGAGTTGGTTTAATCGATATTTATAATTTGAGAAAGTCTATGTCTTCGGTACTATATGAAAAATTACTAACTTTTTAAGATGAAGTTACAATCTTTTGAGGTATAAATTATAACTTGTAAAATCATAATCGATCACAGTTTTTTAGGATCAATCGTAAAAGTTTTTAAATATTAAGTTACAACTTTTAAATGTCAAATTATAACTCGTAAAAGAGAAATTACAATTGCTCAAGGGAATCTTATAATCGATCATGGATGAACTTTTCTCACTCAATTATAATTTTACCTTTCAAAGGTATAGCCTTGCTATTAAAAATTGTAATTGTCATTTTAATTTGCAAGTCAGTGTGGGCTTGTTTGATTGTCGTATTAGAAATAAATGGATTAGATAAGTAATTTAGTCTAATATAATACAAATAGATAAGAGACAATATTAAATAGTGTATTAGAATAATACGTAATTTTATATAGAGTTTGACAATACACATCATAACGTTGGATATTAGTTATTCAATCCAATCGACTGTTTGGTTAGGAAATTATTTAATCGTGTTAATGTTGAATTAACAACAATACATTTAATCAGTGTTTGTAACATTGATAACAGCTTGATTTTATCAGTTGACTTGAAGGTTATAATAAAAAAATGTATAGAATAATACGTTTGAATTGGATTATAATACTCTCTCTCTTGGTGGTATTAAAATACCTCTATAATACAGATCTATCATACAAAAATCTAATTATTTAAGATCTATAACTAGTTTATTCAAAACTTTTGTTATTTTTTTACTACTAATAGTAAATTTATTAAAAGATTTTTTTTTTGTGATTCAATAAGTTTATTTTTCTCTGTTTTTTTTTAAGTTCCATGTATTTAAATTGTTGTTTTTTTAGTAGACATATTTTTTTGACAATTCAATTTTTTTTTTTTTTAAATCAATCAAATGCTCTCTATAAGAAAAAACTTAATAAAAATCAAAATTATAAAACAATAACGCTTAATTTTATCATTAGTGTTCCTAAAACTTAAAGATATTATAATGTGATTCTTCTTTAATATCATCTATTAAAAAATAAAACAAATAGAATAAGTTGATTGAAATTATATTTTGTACAAAATAACATTGAAAAAGAGAAAGTGCAAGCATAAAATAATATATCGTGACTCATTTGATGACATTTATTGTGTGAATTAGAAAGGCGGTCACAAGGCAAAGAGGAGAGATAATCATTTATTTTGTTTTTAGATGGAAACAAAAATTAAGTATGTGTGCGAGAGAGAAGGGGGTGGGAGTTGATGTTTTAACGGGAGAGCCACAGGAGAGAGAGAATTTGTTTGATCGATGTAATTGACTCTTTGACCAATTTTTTCACTTTTGCATTTGACAGTTAGATAACTGCTTTTGTTTTTGTTAAAATTTCGTGTTTTTAACGAAATGGGTTATGAGTTTTTTACTTTTGTTATGCCGCAAACACTTTTAGACCCAAATTTGTTTATTTTGAACTGCATAGGACATTTTTGTTTGGACTCAATTTTATTTGAGTTTAATTTTTTGGTTTGGATCATATTGAATACTTATAAAAAAGTGAAAATTGAGGGTGAGTCCCACTAGATGAACTTATAATGACTTAAGTCTTGCAAGAAAATTTATTTGGAGGTAATTACATGTTTAAACTTATATATAGGTACTTAATTTCACTTATTTTTTAAATCTCAAAATTACTCCTAACAGTATTAGTTTTGTTTAGTTATAGAAATTCATATATGTTAGATCATTGAGACATATATGTAAACCATTGATTAAGTATATATGAAAACCGTTTATTAAATATTATGACAATTAATCGAAGTTTTATATGAAAATTGTATATTCTGATAGTTATATATGAAAAGTTTAATGTACGAATAAATTATTGATCTATTAAATCAAAATCAGATCACAAAATTTCTTTAATAATAATAATACATAATATAGGGAGGCTAAACAATGCCAACAGAGTTCAGTAACACGAATGTTAATATATAGTAACATTCATGTTACTATTTGATTAAAATTTCAATTAGAATCGTGTTACCAGTACAGTCGTGTTACTATACTGACACTAACATTACTATAGTAAATTTTAACATACAATTACAAACNTAAAATTCCAATTAGAATCGTGTTACCAGTACAGTCGTGTTACTATACTGACACTAATATTACTATAGTAAATTTTAACATACAATTACAAACTTTGAAACGTATATTATGTTACATATACTTTAATATTCACAGTAACATCAAAGTTTTGTGTTCAGTAACACATCTAATTTTATAAAATACAAGACAATAGTTTTTTACTGTAACATCAACTTTTTAATAATTTTAGTGAAAATACGATCCATAAATTAAAAATTTACAAAATGATGAATAACAATCGACAGTTGAATTACAACATTCAGCACCAATTGTGAACATTAAGACATCGAAATTTTGAACTCCATTTTTCGGTTCGTATACAATAACATGAACTTTTTCCACAGCAACACAACCAAGGAATACTCAATTGTCTTGCCCAACAAAATCGAAATCTATAACATTTTAATTTAGTACTAATGTATGAGTTATCTTCAATTTTGGTTACAAGGTTAATGTCAACTTTAACAGAATTAAATCCCTAATTGTTATTAATTTTTTATCATGTTACTATTTATTTGTGAGCATGTTACTATTTTTTTAGTGATCATATTACTGTCTTTGTTGAGTATGTTAGTATTGTTATTTTTTAAATATTAATATTTATGGAATGTAATGAATTTAAAATTTGAATATGAACGATTTTTGGTAAATACCGATTTCTTATTTTTTGGATAAAAAAATATTGTGGCTTGAAATATTGTAGCCAGATTTGAAGGAGATGTATATGACTGGTTATTGTGTCAATAAATATCGTTTATAACATTCTTACATGGAAGAGTTACAATAATAAAATTGATAAAAAATAGATTTAAAACCAAATAAATTTTCTTGACGGACTTATCTCTAAATAAGTCCATATATGAGAACCGACCTCCAAATTTCCTTATAAAAAATGGGGCCTTCATTTTAGATAGGGCCTAAAATGATCGCTTCTTCGACCTAGTTATTGGACCGATCCTAGCAAAATTGTACTAAACTTCTTTCGAAGTGAAAATCTATTAAAACATGTCGGTTCAACTTTCTTTAAGTTGACCCCTAAGATGGATAACCTGGGGGATCTTAGAGGAGTATAGGTCTATTTCATTCAGGATGATCTGAATGAAGGAATTCATTAGGTGTATTATGCGATTGCAAACCTTTTAAGCTAAAAAAAATAAATTTTACAAGACAATAATTATACCAACAACACTGCTTACTAAAAAAAGTTTACTTAAACTTTTACTAAATCAATGTGAATCATTGACATTGATTTACTAGAAGTTTTTGTGATTTACATTGATTTAGCAAAAAATTTGGTTAACATATCATCTTACATAGTAGAGTGGTTGAGAATTAATAAAACATATGCTAAAAAAACTAAAGTGTGGAGAAGATATAAATGATAAGATGAATGTAAAACAAACATGAAACAACAAGGAATTAATATATGAAACATTAGAAGTAACACTAATAAAAAATTAATTAAAAAAAGATTTATTTAGATGATTTTTGAGTTTATCATATGCATAGTAAAATTATAATTGCACCGATGAAAAAGAGGGATACGGTGTTATGCCAGAAATGAATATGAGATAACAAAAAATAAAATGATACCAGACAGAAGAAAAAGTGTTATAAGTTTTGAATAGAAACTTCGATAAATAATGACAGTAATTCTAATTGTCTTAAAGGCAATGAAATTTCTTGTCGTATAAGTAGTGATATGCACAAATGGTGTAACAACAGTCCCGCTATTTCTGACTTAGAGCTAGTGAGATTGAATTCTCCGTGAAGATGGGGAGTACCAACGACAACCATAAAAAAAAAAAAAATTGATATTTGTTTATTTTCAAATTGTGTAATTGCCGGTTAATTGCCAAGATTTCCATAATATGACATGGCGACATATAATTGGTCAGAAAACCTTCCCAGACNATTCTAATGCATTGTTCTTTTTAATTTATAATCTATGTCTATCACCATCATTTCCATTAAAAGTTGTGAACAAAAATTCTTGAACCATCAATAACAGTTGACACTAAATACTTTTCTTTTTAATTTCATATCAAAGTAATGATTTTCATTTTCAACAAAACAAATACCTACCCAATCTTGCAAACCAGTAATAGACCTAAACCAATAAATCATGATCAATTTGTTGGACTAACGCAGAATTTTAGTTATAAAATCTGATTTTTGGCCGACTTTGAACATAAATTAAAGTAGGATATGCTCATCGTTTCGAATAAACTTTCGTGAATTTGTGTAATGTTCAATTCATTTATTTATTGCAGCGTTACATGTTAGTATGGTACTATTTTTCCTTGCATGTTCCTGCTTTGCTAATTATTACATAAGCATATTTACGTGTTTCTATTTAGCGTATTTCTAAATTTAATATCATTCCAGAAATCTTAATAAGTAATTTTGTTATATTGAAGAATCCACACCAACACAATTTACTTGAAAAACAATGAAACCATCATCATAGAATGGATAAATAAATTTCTAAATCTGAAAGTCTTTGTTTTCTTCTCAAAAATTCATGCTATGCAAACCTACTACATTCAATCCCCCCCCCAAAAAAAAAAAACAAACAAACAAACAAACAAAAATTAAATAAAATAAATAGAGCAATGCTATGCTACACAAATATTTACCCAAATTTTGTATCTCAAATCAATGCAGGTGGTTGGATTAGTAGGGTCCACTAACTCCACCAAATATTCAATGCATGGAATTTTGACACATCACTTGGGATACAAAATTTGTACAACAATTTATGCAATATAACTTTATCCAAATAAATAAATAATAAAAACCTCTTTAGAAAAAAACGAAAATAAACATGCTAACTTTATAGTGATCTTACACACTTATCAACTCACAAAAACACGATAACCAACATTTACACATCGCCCCAGTTGCGCTAAAACTCTTTCAGAATAAACATATAGCCTATCCATGTTCCACACACACGTGATTATCAATGGGTTGTGTGTCGTCTTGAGTATTACCACGTCGTATCAAAGTTTACCCACACTAATACCCAATTTAGCTATAATCATTTTTAGTTGGTTATGTGTCAATTTCATGCCCGGTAGAAATTATTGCTCATACCCTATTTAACTCTAATCGACCCATTTGAGTCTAATCAGACGAGCCTAAATTCATACCAGACCTGAGCCCAAATCATGGGTTGCGCCCAAACCATTAAAAAACAAACCAAATTGTAGCCCAAGGCTACAGTTTAGTCCAAAACTCAAGAGTTCAGGGAGAGTCAACGCTCATGGGATAGTAATTATCGGGATAGTCATTCCTCCAAGGTAGTGCCTTAGTAACTTGACCTTTACGTCACCGTCACAGCTAGGGCCCTGTGCCTATAAATTATAAATCCCCCACACATATTGACTGATCTCACACATCTCACCTTGAACATATTATTGCGCACTCGTACTCTGTACTATTTCATTAATAATATTCTCTAACCACCTTGGTTAGATCGCCAGACCCAACCACCCAATTATTATTTCTTGTCGTTAACTGTTTTATTAATTGTTTTATTCCATACATAAATCCACTTTTGTGCAATATCCCAACCATTTACCACCGGCTAAAGCTAACTATCATAAACATGCTAATTCATCAATCTCACTATGACACATACATATTCAAAGTAAAATGTAAACAAAAAAGTTAAGAGGTATACCAGGCAAAGACCCAGGTTGGGATTGACCAGGCACAAAAGTGGGTCCCCTAGGCCTCCAAGTCCACACTCCTCTTCCACCATCCGCTCCTCCTCCTCCACCAACCACACAACCTTCACTTGATTCCACCCTTGTAGGCCCCACACCCTGACCACTCTGTTGATGTGGCCTGTACGCGCCACCACCTTGACCTCTTTGATGCGGCCTATTACCCCGCTGCTGATCACCGGTCTGGATGGGAACCCAACCCCTACCTACTCCTCTTCCACCACCACCACTTTGATACTGACCCTGCTGATGGTGTTGGTTACGTGGGTAATTCCCACCTCTGCCACCACCGCCACCACGATTACTTCCGGTGCCGCCGCGACCACGGCCAGAGCCGCCACTTCCTTGATTGTCGCTACTCCTCTCCATTGAAACTGCTACGATAAAAGACTTTCTTCAGTTCTCACTACCGAATCAAACTGGAGAGTCGAAGACTTTCTTCAGTCCGGTGTGTGGTGCTTTAAATAGATGAAGGTGTGTGTGAAATGACACAAATAGCCTTTCGTGGTGACCAAGTATGGAGCAGTGCTCGTAATTTAGGAAAAAAAATAAAATATCAANATGAAGGTGTGTGTGAAATGACACAAATAGCCTTTCGTGGTGACCAAGTATGGAGCAGTGCTCGTAATTTAGGAAAAAAAATAAAATATCAATAGCATCTCCGACCATGACTCAAATTTTTATTCAAATTTAAATTAATATTTGAGTAAAAAACTTGATTTGATATAAAAGACTCCGATGACCAAACTCAAATTTAAAGAATGAGAGATCTAAATTTAAATGAGAGTAAACTCAAATTTAAAAAGGAATAAGAATGATCATTAGATATTAAAAAGATGATGAAATCTCACCATTAAATATTTGAGTAAAAAATTGAATCTCTCTTTATTTGAGTAAAAAATTGAGTCTCTCTTGATTTGGTATAAATTTGAGTCAAGGTTAGAACAAGTTTTTTAGACTTTTTTTACTCAAATTAAAATTTGAATCTAAATTTGAATAAGGATTAGAGACGCCCTAAGTAGGTGAATCTTATTTATTTTAGTATTTTATGTGTTATATCATTTAATAATTACTCAAGTGTAATTCACTTTACTCATTTGTAAATTTATTATTTGATGATGATATCACTTGTCAATGATAATGAAATGTCAATGTTACATCCAATATTTACTCGTAATTTAGAAATATTATTTTATTTATTAACACAACACAACACGAAATCTAAAAATAGAAATATCAATTAACACGAATAATAAATGAATCAAAATAAAGATTAGACATTGATAATACGATTGATATTGCAAATAAAAAATAAATATTTTATAATTTTTTAAAATTATTTTCTTAGTATCATATGAGTTTGGACTCGACTCATTTTTTAAACAAGTCGAATTTGAACAATATTTTAGACTCCTTGAAAAAAAGAACTTGACAGACTCGAATCAAAATTCACAAAACTCGATTCGACTCGATTAAGTACCATAATTATGGCCTTAGTAATTCATTGGGGGTATCAGACAACTCCAAGTGGGGTGGTTCTAAATGTTCCTTTTCCATCCCCCATTGTTTAATATAACCTATAAATTAAAAAACCAAAGCTATAACTCTTTCTTCAACTATTTTTTTTATTTTTGAATCCATGTTAATTAGTTATTAACATAAATTATTAATTTATGTAGTGGGAGAATCTGGGGAAATCCAGAAGGTTCGATGACTTTGGGTAACCAATGTGAATGGGGAACAAAAAAGGAGCATTGTGGTTAGGAAACTTTGGGTGAAGTTAGTTATGTACGGAAAGCCTTGCGTTTTGGCCAGGTTCTGACTTAGCGAGGACCTTATTTGTTACTTTTTGTGCAAGTAACATTTGTGGGGATACTTTGATTCGTACTAACCACCTATAATTGTGGATCATCGGCTCCTTGTCTCTGTGTTTAATAGATTCACAAGCTTACAACATATATACACCCATTAATTTCGAGCCAATTTCGTGTTAAATTAGCTAATTGTATTTGGAATTGTGAGTCACACCTTGAACACATTCATATTCGCATTAAGATTTAAAGAAATAAGTTAAGAGGAATACTAGGATTCGTTTGATCAGGAACTCTCTGAGACGGAGACGGAGACGGAGACGGAGACTGAACAGACCCACCACTCTGACCTTTGTGAACGGGGTAATTACCCCGCTGCTGACCACCGATCTGGGTAGGAACCCAAACCCGTCCTCTTCCGCCAACACTACCTCCTTGATACTGACCCTCCTGATGGTACTGGTGTCGTGGGTAATTCCCACCTCTACCACCGCCGCCGCCCCGACCATGGCCAGAGCCACCACTTCCACGGTTGTCGCTACCTCTCTCCATTGAGTCAGCAAAAACAAAAGATTTTCTTCGGTGCTCTCACTGCTCAAGTAAACTGGATACTTTGGGAGTAGTTGGGTTGCTGTGCTTTAATATAGATCAACGTGGGTGTGAAATGACGGAAATGGCCTTTCGTGGTGACCAAGTGTGCTGGACTAGTGCCTGTCGACGTGTCATTTGGGAGAATCCGGGAAATTCCAGAAGGGGTTTGCCTTTGTGAGGTGGTGAAGAAAGTGAGAGAAGAGACGGAGCAATTGATGAAGTAGGATAACCCGCAAGCTACTTCAAGTGATAATAAGAGAAGGATTAAATTTTTAACTTGAATTTTGATAATATCATAAGATTAGATCATTATAAATTTATTTTTTATGAATATATTAATCTAAGTGTGATTCACCTAAATGACTTATTTTTAACAAACTAAAAAAAAAAAAAAAAATTGAGATGCACGTAAATTAATTTGAATATTTTTTACTGTTGAACCAAAAATAAAAAATAAAAATTGATGAAGTAAGTCTCTAATCTTTGTAGTATAATATTTTGATGGGGTTAAACTTATTTTTTTCCCACTTGAAATATGCAGTGAAATTTTAACTTCAACTCAGTGCAATAAAATTTATCATAAATAATTATATAATGCTAAAAAATAATATTCTCCAACGAAGATGTATAGTGATATATTTATATGTCCATTTTTAAGCACCAAAAAAAAGTAAGGGTTAGACTTTGTGAGGGGGTGAAGAAAGTGAAAGGAAATAATCAGAGTAACTGATGAAGTACGGATGTGTTAGGGTATTAAAAAAATTGGTGCTAATTTTTTTATTTTTTTTCTAATTAAAATAGGATAAATGTAAAATTTATATTTTATATTTTATTTTATTGTTATATGATCATCGATAAAACGATTGAAACAAAATAAAATTGCACCTACTATTGTCGTGCTATTAATTACTGGTTCAAAATGACCTTATAATTACCTTTGGTGAATGTGTATCATTTATTTTCTATTGACATTGACAAATATTAGCTATAAATGAAAATATCAAAACTAAAATTTACAGTTATTTTTTCTTCTAAATACGTACATCAATATTTAAATCAAAGGAATTGTTTGAGAACTAATTCCGTATTTTTGTCATTCGTTGGGCTTATTTTCATATTAATTTGTTATTAACACCACATGGGCTTGTTTTGATAGATTTTTGAGAAAGATTTGGATTTGCTTCCCTAAACTGAAACCCCTCTTTATAAAGATGGAATTCAACATTGAATCTTGTCCATATCAATGTTTGGTATGCAATACATACACATATAAGATCTATGGATATTTCAAAAGTATTAACAACTATTTATCCCGTAAATAACTGTTTTAGTTTTGATCAATCTAATTCATACTCATGTTAAGAGGTATAATTTTTTTTTTGAATTCTTAATCCCTTAACCATCTTCCCAAACTCACTCTCCTCTTAGGTTTGACCAAACTCACGGTTACGAGTTTAATATTCGGGCCAACTACGGATTTGATTTGAAAATTCAAGATTAAATTTTTAATTCAAATATGAAATTTGAGGATTCTTTAAACTATTTTTTTCAAACTCATCTTGTCAAACCGCTCGTACCCTTCACCAAACAGCCCTGGTGTTAATTTTTGCGTTGGACAGTCTGGAGAATTCCAGAAAGTTGGATGAAAAGAGTGGATGGCGAAAGTGCGCGGAAGAGACGGAACAATTTCTGAGAAGTAGTGTCATAAATTGGTAAAGTGATGTCATTGGTTCTTACTTCTTATAATATTTTTATTTTATGTATTATTTATTCTTTTTTTTTTTTATATTACAATCAGAGAGGATATCCAGACTAATTTATCCAAATCTTGGTCGATCATTTCTCTAATTCGGTCAAAAATAAACCATTCATATTGGGACTAAAAAATTTATGAGCGATAAATTTTTTATGGACCCAACAATCCCAACAAATTGTTCAATGACCCAATTGAATAAAAATTCTGAGTACAACACTAATTATATTTGACTCTAGTTTCGTTCATGCATATAAAGTTTAGATGGAATTCGTGTAATCCTTCTCAAATCTCATAATGACAAAAATTTTGTATAATCTTATTTATTTAATAAATTGTCTCAAATATTATTAACAGTAATTTAACCGACATAAAGTCACATGAAATATTCGAGGCTTTCAAGATTAATGTTGCTGCAACAATTTCGTGGAAGTTGTATCTTTTCTTTGGAAGCTTAGTGTTGCTGCGTCAACGTCTTTTACGAGAAGTCTAAAAAAGTTAAGCCACATAGATCATAAACTATTGAGCATAACTATTATTTTTTTTCTCATTTTTTTTTGTGGGGGTTGGGAGAAGGAATTTTCTTTTTTTTTTTTTGAGAGAAACGGTAGAAATTTGATTAAATAGGAGCATCCAAGAGGAGAAGGGGCACTATGAAAGTTGATACCTCCTTCTCCCATATAGCCACGCCATCAACAATAATAGTATGTCTAGCTAGCTTATGAACTACCTTATTTTCTGATTTTCTAGCTGTGGATACAAAATAATAGCAAAGAGTATGTAGACTAATCCTGATATTTGCTAAAACAAAGTCCAACGGATCAAACTCACTTTCGACATCTGTGAGTATCTTCATTACGTTAATTGAATCCCCTTTCAAGACAATTCCATCACAGCCTTGTTGCACAGCAAAGTGGACAGCCTCCCTAGAAGCTAAAATTTCTATTGTTTGTGCCACACAAGGGGAGATGACTTTCCTACACAAGCCAGCAACAAAGGTACCTCATTCATCTCTTATTACCATGCCTACTCCATTTGCTCCTTCTACCTCGAACACGGCCCCATCAAAATTAACCTTTAAAGAGCCTATACTTGGGGGAACCACATAGAGATTGCGTCTACTGTTGCTGGTGCCAAAGCGCTGGAGTCCACTGCTTGTTCGTACCGTGCAATATAATCAGTTGACATATAACTTATTAACGCAGGGTCCTTCTTCAAATTCTGACATAACACTTCATTTCTATTCGTCCAAATTAACCAATAATTGACCAAAAATAGGGAGAATTGACGTAGATTCATCTGTTGTGACATTTCCCACAATCAACTATAGATTTGGCTTGTTGTATGCTGCATAAGATAGTTTAGTTTACTGGATTCCCATGATTCGTTGGCCCAAGTACATTCTTTCACCATATGCAGCACAATTTCAAATTTACTTCCACAAACACAACACATGTCATCCGTCTAAATCCTCCTTCACATATGATTTTCATTAGTAGGGAGAGTATTAGTCGCCATTCTCCAAGCGCATATTTTAATTTTATCTGGTAACTTCTAATTCCCAATGAATTTTCAATTGTTATGTTCGAAACCTGATGATGAAGAAGCATCTTCAGGATTCATTGGGCAAGCTAGAGTTCAATCAAATGCAATATGATATGCACTTCGAACAGAAAATCTACCCTTCGAATCGTAATGTCATATGAGCTTATCTACCATGAATGAGGAACCCAAGGGTATTCACCTAATCGTCTATGCTTCATGACTTAGAAAAACTTCATTGATCAAACTTTCCTTCCACTGATGAGTTGTTGAATCAATAAGATCATTGATTGTGGCCTCGTCATGCAAAGTATTCTTGGGAGTAACAACCTTAAAAGTCGTTGGAGTAGGAATCCACCTATCTTGCCAAACCTTTATTTTGGATCCATCCCCAATTCTCCATCAAGATCCAGCTTCTAAAACTCTCCTGGTTCAAAAATGCTTCTCCAAGAGTATGAGGGCCTATATCCGAGCTTAGCATTCATAAATGAATCATTCAGAAAATATTTGGCTTTCAACACTTTATGAAAGAAGGGAATTGGTTTCATGGTGAATTCGCCAAGCTTGTTTGGCTAGCATCGCCAAATTGAAAGTTCTCAAGTCGCAAAAACCCATACCACCTTTAGCTTTGTTTTTACATATTTCTGCCCACTTCACCTAGTGAATTTTCTCTTCCTCATCTTTTTGTTCCCACCAAAAATTAGATGCCAAGGATTCGAGCTCGTTGCAAAGATAATTTGGGAGTTTGAAACACCCCATTGCATAGATCGAGATAGATTGGACTATACTTTAATGAGGACTTCCTTCCCTGCCTTAGACAATAATTGTTCCTTCCACCCTTGAAACTTCTTCCATACTCGTTCTCTTATACTTACAAATACCTATTTCTTGGATTTGCCTACAACCAATTGCAAACCAAGATATTTCTCATGTTGTTGGACTCTTAGAATCCCTAGTATCGATCTTACTTCTTTAGCCCTGACATCTAGGACATTTCTGCTGCATACCATGGCTGATTTGTCATTGTTAACTTGCTATCTTGAAGCTACTTCATATAAATATAACAAATCTTTGACAGCTAGTGCTTCCGATATTGAGGCCTTAAAAAAAAACAAGTTGTCATCTGTAAAGAAGAGGTGAGATATTATGGGACAGCCTCTTTCAACTGTAATATCATAAATCAAATTTTTACTTTCAGCATCCTTTAATAATGCTGACAATCCTTTTGCACATATGAGAAAAATGTAAGATAATAAGGGGTGTCCTTGACGGATACCCTTTTAGGTACAAAATAACCCATTTGATCCCCATTTAAAATCAAGGAGTATGACACAGACTTAACACACTGCATAATTAGATAAATCCAGTGTGGATTAAATCCTAGGGCACCCATCATTCTTTCTAAGAAAACCCACTCAACTTGATCATAGGCATTACTCATATCTAACTTTTAGGAAACATGACCCTCTTTTACCCAATTTTTACACTTAGGATAATAATTGATTTCAAAAGCCACTAAAACATTATACGTGATCAATTGGCCTGGGACAAAGGCACTCTGATTTTTTGACAATATCAACGGAAGGGCCATTTTAAACTTGTTAGCTAAAACCTTTGATATGATTTTATACAAGACGTTACAAAGGCTAATAGGTCTAAAATGGGT